AGGATGACTAATGGCAGGAAACATGGAAAAGTAGGTCTTGTGAGTGGCATGAAAAGCACCCGAGCTATTTGATAGGATGACCTCTCTACTGTTTCATTTTTATTTGTGCTGAGAACTGCTGTCAAACCAGTGGGATGCAATAAAGGGTATGAGGGATGCTTAGACAGTGCAGGTGGAAAACAAAGAATAAAGAGCAACACCAAGTTATCAGGAATGATATCAAAGACCACTTGTTCCTAGTGAAAGTTCTTACAAAGCACTGGCTTCCTTGCAAGGTTTTAAAGTCCTTGTGGAGGTTTCCTCTGTGTGCATATGCACAGGTTTCCTCTGTGTGCATATGCACATCAAATTTGAATTTCTAGCATCTGACACTGAAAATTGCAAAGTTTGTCCCACTGACCGCTTATGTGAGGTGAAATGATGAAAGTCTTTTGAATCCTTCCCAGTCTTATGACTTTAAAAAGATAATACTGAGACTGAATAAATTTGCAGAGTAGGCCTTGAATAGAAGTTTTTGTTTAAAAAAAATTATGTGTGAACAAACCTACATGAGGTGGTTCATGGATCACTTTTTTATATCTGAAGGCTTTTGATAGTGGTTTGAGAAGAAAGGGGTCCCTGAGAAGTATAATTTAAAGTGCTGCTTTATTTTTCCACCTTGAAAAAATGCAGTAGTTCTCATGGTTGACCCATATGGATTTTGTGTAGTATTTACCATATTTTGCTGTTTTAGAATTAATTGTCTGGAATGCCATTGAAGGGAGGATTCTTTGCTTTCTCTTCCAGTTACATGTAACTAAAAACAGTTAAGCATAGCAGAGCAAGCCGTTTAAGGAAAAAGGTCATAGTTTTATTTAGGCCTATGGTTTTGGAACTTGTTTTTTTGCAATTGCACCTATGATGGTAATAAAATGGCATTAGTGAGATAGGTAGTAGATAGGTGGTAGCTCTTCTCTGTTTATGCAAAATAAGAATATCGACATGCAGTCTGATGGGATCAGATTGTGTTGCATTGGCCAAATCTCTACTTGCTGGCTAACCCAATGTAACTGCTTGCATGCTCTTACCCTGCCCCTATTTGTGAGGTAAAGTGTAAATACCAAACAGTGAATGAAGCAGCTGCAATGTGTTGGTAACACAAAAAAAAGAAACACAGCCTTAATTTTGCACGTTTTTTTTTTCTACAGCTGTGATCAGTATTGCTGATGAAAAAATCCGTCAAAGTAGAAGAGTGATAATTGTTTTAGTACCAGAACCCTCCTGTTACAGCGTTATAGAAGATGTGTCTGAAAAGCAGCTAGCCATGTATAATGCTCTTATCCAAGATGGCATTAAAGTAATTCTCATTGAACTTGAAAAAATACAAGATTATGCAGACATGCCAGAAGCCATCAAATATATTAAGCAAAAGCAGGGGGCTATCCGATGGAAAGGTGACTTCTCGAAAAGGTCTCACTCGGCAAGTACCAGATTCTGGAAGAAAGTACGCTACCACATGCCATCCAGAAAAACTGCATCTTCATCAGGATTGCATTTGTTACCGACAGACTTTAATTCTCCCTAAATGACAACAGAAAAATGACACTTACTGACTAATTCAGTGCACATAGTTTGTGATGGATTGATTGAAGGTCACGTGTATCTGCTTTGTGCAGACAATCTCATCCAAATTTCCTGGATTGAAGGTACTACAGCTGCGTCTACAGATGTGAATCATCCTTTCTTCTGGCCAGATCAACTGAACACCTTGTAATGTCATCAGTAGCACAGTGATGACATGGAAACCATTGTAGGAAGTATATGAGGCCTTTTCCAAGAACTGTACTGTGTTTTGGTGGAATTCTTTTGGTATTAAAAGTGGAAGGGGGAAAAAAACATCAAAAATCCCAGAAAACTTTTCTTTTTTGCAGTTGAAGGTTGAATATGAAGGGACCTATAGTAATTATAATTGTGATGTTATGTAATGGGCAAGGTTGATGCCAGTAAATGGTTTTGTTTCAATTTTTTTAATGAAGTGACACAAAACTTTTATTTGTTACAAGTTCATTATTTGCCGTGTTCAGTTTGCTGAAAGATAAATCCCTCTGTGTTACTGCATCAGTGTGTTATGATCCAAGAGAAAAGGTAAGAGACAATCCCAGCCCCTGAAAAGTGCTATTGACCCTGACAAAGCCTAAAATACTCTTCCCTGATCTTTTTTACATTTTAAAGAACTGTACCATTTTTAGTCACTTGTCCCACGCAGACATCCTAAAAATCCCACTGTAATGCTGTATTGAGTCAAAAAAATTAATCTCTAGACGATTTTTTTTTCCCCAGTTAAGTGGCTAAATATTTGTTCTTCATTACCCAAGCGGAACAATTAGCTAATGGCACGGACTCTCTTGTGGGGAGTACAGAATGGTTGGCTTCATCCTCCTCACTTTAAAGACCAGATGAAGGGGCTTCAGGGCATCTACTTCTCTTGGGTCACTGTTGCTGAAGGAGAGCAGGTCTCCCCTCCTGTTCCCAGCCATGGTGCTGGCTGTAGCATTTGTCAGCTCTGAAAGCTGAACCTGACTGAACAGAGTACGTGGCAGAAATCGTTATTTCCCATGTGATAGTTTTCTCCCACATTAGTGAATTTATCTGGTTCCCAGAGGGTTCAGAGTGCGATGGGAGAAGTAAAGGGGTGGTGAGGCCACGCTTTTTGGCTCTGGGAGTGTTTAGAAAGCAGAGCTAAAATAGCATTGTTGCCCAGTACTCCTTAAAGTGAGAGAAAGAGATGCCCGCTCTTCCCTGCTGTAGCTGCTTGATTTTCTCCTTTCCCTTTCCACTGATGATGTCAGGAATCTGAGGTGATGGTTGGCTGTGGCTAGATGAATTGAGACTGGAGTTGCAGCTTCCATACAGCTGTTTGGGAAAGGAAGTTGTTAAAACTTACTGTGCATATTAAACCCTTTCTCTCCCCACCCCCTGTGTAATTTTTTTTTTTTAAACAATATTATGTATACCACAATTTTCTGAACTCTGAAGTTATGTTTGACTTGCGTGCAGGCAGTGATGTAGTTTGTAATGATAAGTTATTTTTTCAGGGGAGGGAATTGATTTGATTGATTTTAAGAAATTACCAAATCTGTTTAATGCCATGTTTATAGCTATGAATTTTATAGGAGCAGGAGATGTGAGAGCCAAATTGCCTGTGCTTTTCAGTCTGTGCTTGAAAGTTACATTTTTAAGTTACCAGATCTGTTTGTATATGGAAGCTTGAGGATTTGGCTGTTACTGCCTTTAACTGCTGCTTGCAACTCCAAATTCCTGTTTGTGTCCTATCACCTTCTTTCTTGTAGCACCTTTTGCTCTCCTGCCATTCAAGCTCCAGGCTATGTTTTCCCATGCAGTTCCCTTATCTTGGAACAAGCAACTTACTGTTCTGTCAAACTCCCATCATTTTCCAAGCTGTCCTTGAAGGCTGTTGCTAATACAGTATCAGGCAGAAATTTTCCCTTTACGTTGGTCCTTTGATATCTCCGCTTGTTCATTTGAAAAAGCAAATGTTCTGCGTCCGTCAGAATCCATGTATTCATTTTGACACTGCAGTGCTGGCTTTTGCTTTTTCTTCTTTCATGGCTCAAGCATTTATCTTCTGATGCCTTCATCCTCAACCAGATAAAACGGATAGTGTGAGATGCCATCCCACAGAAGAACTGCCCAGTGAACGTGGGATGGTGTGATCCTCGTGTTCTGCCTCGTAAGTGACAAAACCAGTGGAAATAGGTTCCTCTCCCACCTAATGTGCTTTGGTTACCTCAGTGTATGCTGGAAATTTGAAACTTGGCCCCTGAGAGACAATGTCTTCTGAGCTTTGCGAGTTGAGTGTGTGTTTGGCCAGAATGGAATATGAGTCTCTTCGGGATAGGAGGGGGAGAAAACTGCATTTGAAACATCAAACTATTTCAAACTGCCATGGTACTGGAGTGTTTTATTGATGAATGTCATGTATCTATAGACCAATGCACACACTTCTGTTCTCATTCTGTGTTTTAGTCAAGACGGAAGTGTCAAAGGAGGAACACTTCTGGTCATGAAGTGCCACATTCATTTAGCTGTTGCACACAATCTGCTTTTACATATGATGTGTATTCAGTGACAGCCCGTTGTAGGGTAAGAGAGCCTTGAGATCCATCTGAAGTTACTGACATCCCTCTGAGCAAGGCCAATTGTTACAGTTCACATCAATAGAAGAATACAGTGGGCCAGAAGTACGGCTTCTCTTCGGTCACAGAACTCTCCTGTAGGAAGATCCCTATATCAAATGTGAAGACTAGACACTGGAAGTATGGTAGTTGTACTCTGAGGACTAGGGTATGATACTGACTGCACTTCCACCTTGACAGCTCGCAGTATGCAGGCCAGCAGCCTTGGGCCTCCTGAATTATTTTGCTGGCTCGAATAGATAAATGAACAACTGCTAATTGCTTTTCCTACCTTTAGGGATAGGAAGGTTATTGTACTGAGCCAAAACACTGTTTTTTAATAAATACTTGTTCTTTTTGATGTATTTATACAACTGATGCTAAAGTTTTCATGTGTGTTATGTAAAGGCACTTTGAAGAAAGGTCCATTTTTTAATTCAATAAAGGCACTACATATTTTTTTCGTACATCACTGGTGTTTTTTTCCTCAGTCCTCCACTAAAGCATGCTGAGAATGAACAACAGCAAGCAGCAGTCTTGTCTTCAAGTGTTTTAAACAAGACTGCTATATTAGATCTTCATTCAGGCTGCTGAATGTGTGTGGGGGAAAGGGTCTCATTAACCATTGTGTTAATCTGGTCTTGGCACAACATTAGCCCTAACCACCTCACCCTGCCTGGGCAAACAGGAGCTGTGAGCTTGGCTCAGCTCTGTCCTGTCCTCTCCTTGCAATGAGGTGAAGCTAGAGCAGCCCCAAGGCTGCTGCCTTGCTCTCTGAGTCCCCAGCAGTGCCCCACTGAGCAACCTTCTGCTGCAGCTCCTCCACAGCTGGTGGAAATGCAGGAGACCTCAAATGGAGGAGATGTGAAGGGCTTCTCATCGGTAGTGGAGGCAGCCTTCTCTGCTTGGCTCCTTGGGCAAGCCCTGACTTTCTCATCTGCTCCAAGAAAGTCAGAGCCTTGGCAGCGGGACTGTAGGGGCTGGTCTCACACGAGACCTCATGTTTATTCCAGAGAGGCTAATGTACTTAATGTAAGGTTTACTGCATAATTTTCAATCCTAATAGATAAAAGGAGCTTATAAAAGTATGAGTTTTAAATTTGATCTGTACTTTTTGCATTCTGATTGTTTTGAATCTCTTCTGGAAAACTGTTCCTGAATACCATTTCTGTCCCTTTTTCTAGTAAAGGTAATGCTAGTTCTGTTTACTTGCTAGGTTAATCCTGGGTTTATTTTTCATGCAAGATGGATAAGCAGATAAAAAAGCCATTAAAGGAGTTCTGAAATGAGTTTTTATCTACCTGTGTGAGTCTCATAGTAGTTGTTTTTCAGACTCTAAGAACTTTTGTGAACTTCTGTATAACCAGCAGCAATAAGTCTAATTTTATATTTAGAATATAGATATATACGATATATAGCATTTTCATGTGAAATTTCCCAAATGAAGTATTTTCAAGACCTGTATTGAGAATGCTTTTGCTTTTTTCCAGGCCTAATCCATGCTATACACCTGTCTAAAATGCAGGCAAGGGTTCAGGCTGTAAATTAATACATGTTTGAAGGTCCTATGCATTTGTTGCTTCCTCTTAGGAAGGGGATCACTATAAGCATCACTTCCATGCTGACAGCAGCGCAGCACAAATCCTTTTTAAACAGGAGGTGGGTGGATGATTTGCTTCTGCTAAGGTTCTATTTGTTCCCCACGTCTTCCAAAATACAGCAGCTTTGAACTAAGTCTGTGTACTTGGGGATTAAAAGATTGTGGTGGAAAGAGTCAAGTCAGAGAAAATCACCGTTTCCTGGTAACTGGACTCAGCATGGTTTACTGTGAGAGCTGAAGCCAGCCTGACCAGCAGGTTTCCTGCCTGGACTACAAGAACAGTAGGAATGTGGCCAGTACTGTGACACAGCCCTCCTGTGTGGACTTTTCAGAATTCTTCTACATTAGTTTAGTCTTGTCCTCCTCAAAGCCATTGCCAGCAAAGCTTTCCATTCAGTAAGAAGATACCATGTGAGGTGAGTAAAGCTGATGCAGTTCTTGGATGTCTTCACCAGTAATGAACTTAAAGGGAAGCAAATTAACCAAACTCTAAGCCGCTGGATGAAACAAGAGAAAGAAAGGGGGGGTCAACAGAACTGTTTGACTTCAGGAGGACACTAATGCAGACATCCAGTGAATCAGTCTAATTTCTGCATGTAAAATGAACTCAGGAATAGGATTTTAGAAAGGTATTATGATGCAAAATTTGCAAGTTTTGACTAGTGTATTTTGGGTTGCGTGCATTTATTGTTTGAATATGTGTCCTGCAAGAGTATTAAAGACAGTCTTCAGCAACTACATGCTTTTCTTCTGTGGTTCTCTGCTTTCTCTTTTTAAAATTCTTGTTTG